TGATCCACTTTTAGAGCCTTGTTAGGGTGAAGAATGAGGGACTCTACAGAGCTTGATTAGGAGGAAATTGATCCACTTCATAGAGCCTTGTTAGGGTGAAAATTGATCCACTTCATAGAGCCTTGTTAGGGTGAAAATTGATCCACTTCATAGAGCCTTGTTAAGGTGAAAATTGATCCACTTCATAGAGCCTTGTTAGGGTGAAAATTGATCCACTTCATAGAGCCTTGTTAGGGTGAAAATTGATCCACTTCATAGAGCCTTTTTAGGGTGAAAATTGATCCATTTCATAGAGTCTTGTTAGGGTGAAAATTGATCCATTTCATAGAGCCTTGTTAGGGTGAAAATTGATCCACTTCATAGAGCCTTGTTAGGGTGAAAATTGATCCACTTCATAGAGCCTTGTTAGGGTGAAGGATGATGGACTCCATAGAGCCTTGTTAGGGTGAAAATTGATCCACTTCATAGAGCCTCGTTAGGGTGAAAATTGATCCACTTCATAGAGCCTTGTTAGGGTGAAGGATGATGGACTTCATAGAGCCTTGTTAGGGTGAAAATTGATCTTCATAGAGCCTTGTTAGGGTGAAAATTGATCCACTTCATAGAGCCTTGGTAGGGTGAAGGATGGACTCCATAGAGCTTGGTTAGGGTGAACATTGATCCACTTCATAGAGCCTTGTTAGGGTGAAAATTGATCCACTCCATAGAGCCTTGTTAAAGGATGATGGACTCCATAGAGCCTTGTTAGGGTGAAAATTGATCCACTTCATAGAGCCTCGTTAGGGTGAAAATTGATCCACTTCATAGAGCCTTGTTAGGGTGAAGGATGGACTTCATAGAGCCTTGTTAGGGTGAAAATTGATCTTCATAGAGCCTTGTTAGGGTGAAAATTGATCCACTTCATAGAGCCTTGGTAGGGTGAAGGATGGACTCCATAGAGCTTGGTTAGGGTGAAAATTGATCCACTTCATAGAGTCTTGTTAGGGTGAAAATTGATCCACTTCATAGAGCCTTGTTAGGGTGAAAATTGATCCACTTCATAGAGCCTTGTTAGGGTGAAAATTGATCCACTTCATAGAGCCTTGTTAGGGTGAAGGATGATGGACTCCATAGAGTTTGGTTTGGGTGAAAATTGTTCCACTCCATAGAGCCTGGATAAGGTGTAAATCAATGAGCATCATAGAGCGTTGTTTGGGTGAAAATTGATCCACTTCATAGAGTCTTGTTAGGGTGAAAATTGATCCACTTCATAGAGCCTTGTTAGGGTGAAAATTGATCCACTTCATAGAGCCTTGTTAGGGTGAAAATTGATTCCACTTCATAGATCTTGTTAGGGTGAAAATTGATCACTTCATAGAGCCTTGTTAGGGTGAAAATTGATCCACTTCATAGAGCCTTGTTAGGGTGAAAATTGATCCACTTCATAGAGCCTTGTTAGGGTGAAGAATTGATGCCACTTCATAGAGCCTTGTTAGGATGAAAATTGATCCACTTCATAGAGCCTTGTTAGGGTGAAAATTGATCCACTTCATAGAGCCTTGTTAGGGTGAAAATTGATCCACTTCATAGAGCCTTGTTAGGGTGAAATTGATCCACTTCATAGAGCCTTGTTAGGGTGAAAATTGATCCACTTCATAGAGCCTTGTTAGGGTGAAAATTGATCCACTTCATAGAGCCTTGTTAGGGTGAAGGATGATGGACTTCATAGAGCCTTGTTAGGGTGAAAATTGATCCACTTCATAGAGCCTTGTTAGGGTGAAAATTGATCCACTTCATAGAGCCTTGTTAGGGTGAAAATTGATCCACTTCATAGAGTCCTTGTTAGGGTGAAAATTGATCCACTTCATAGAGCCTTGTTAGGGTGAAAATTGATCCACTTCATAGAGCCTTGTTAGGGTGAAAATTGATCCACTTCATAGAGCCTTGTTAGGGTGAAAATTGATCCACTTCATAGAGCCTTGTTAGGGTGAAAATTGATCCACTTCATAGAGCCTTGTTAGGGTGAAAATTGATCCACTTCATAGTCTTGTTAGGGTGAAAATTGATCCACTTCATAGAGCCTTGTTAGGGTGAAAATTGATCCACTTCATAGAGCCTTGTTAGGGTGAAAATTGATCCACTTCATAGAGCCTTGTTAGGGTGAAAATTGATCCACTTCATAGAGCCTTGTTAGGGTGAAAATTGATCCACTTCATAGAGCCTTGTTAGGGTGAAAATTGATCCACTTCATAGAGCCTTGTTAGGGTGAAAATTGATCCACTTCATAGAGCCTTGTTAGGGTGAAAATTGATCCACTTCATAGAGCCTTGTTAGGGTGAAAATTGATCCACTTCATAGAGCCTTGTTAGGGTGAAAATTGATCCACTTCATAGAGCCTTGTTAGGGTGAAAATTGATCCACTTCATAGAGCCTTGTTAGGGTGAAAATTGATCCACTTCATAGAGCCTTGTTAGGGTGAAAATTGATCCACTTCATAGAGCCTTGTTAGGGTGAAAATTGATCCACTTCATAGAGCCTTGTTAGGGTGAAAATTGATCCACTTCATAGAGCCTTGTTAGGGTGAAAATTGATCCACTTCATAGAGCCTTGTTAGGGTGAAAATTGATCCACTTCATAGAGCCTTGTTAGGGTGAAAATTGATCCACTTCATAGAGCCTTGTTAGGGTGAAAATTGATCCACTTCATAGAGCCTTGTTAGGGTGAAAATTGATCCACTTCATAGAGCCTTGTTAGGATGAAAATTGATCCACTTCATAGAGCCTTGTTAGGGTGAAAATTGATCCACTTCATAGAGCCTTGTTAGGGTGAAAATTGATCCACTTCATAGAGCCTTGTTAGGGTGAAAATTGATCCACTTCATAGAGCCTTGTTAGGGTGAAGGATTGATCCACTTCATAGAGCCTTGTTAGGGTGAAAATTGATCCACTTCATAGAGCCTTGTTAGGGTGAAAATTGATCCACTTCATAGAGCCTTGTTAGGGTGAAAATTGATCCACTTCATAGAGCCTTGTTAGGGTGAAATTGATCCACTTCATAGAGCCTTGTTAGGGTGAAAATTGATCCACTTCATAGAGCCTTGTTAGGGTGAAAATTGATCCACTTCATAGGCCTTGTTAGGGTGAAAATTGATCCACTTCATAGAGCCTTGTTAGGGTGAAAATTGATCCACTTCATAGAGCCTTGTTAGGGATGAAAATTGATCCACTTCATAGAGCCTTGTTAGGGTGAAATGATCCAATTCATAGAGCCTTGTTAGGGTGAAGGATGATGGACTTCATAGAGCCTTCGATTAGGGTGAAATTGATCCACTTCATAGAGCCTTGTTAGGGTGAAGATTGATCCACTTACATAGATCCTTGTTGAGGGTGAAAATTGATCCACTTCATAGAGCCCTTGTTAGAGTGAAATGATCCACTTCATAGAGCCTTGTAGGATGACATGATGGCACTTCCATAGAGCCTTGGTTAGGATGAACATTGATCCACTTCATAGCGCTTGGTTAGGGTGAAAATTGATCACTTCCATAGAGCCCGTGTTAAGGATGAATGGATTCTCCACTTCAGAGTCTTGTTAGGGTGAAAATTGATCCACTTCATAGAAGCCTCGTTAGGGTGAAAATTGATCCACTTCATAGAGCCTTGTTAGGGTGAAGATGATGGACTTCATAGAGGCTTGTTAGGGTGAAAATTGATCACTTCATAGAGCCTTGTTCAGGGCTGAAAATTGATCACTTCATAGAGCCTTGGTTAGGGTGAAGGAGTGGACTCCATAGAGCTTGGTTAGGGGTTGAAAATTGATCATCAAGAGCTTCTTGTTATGGTGAAATTGAATATCCACTTCATAGAGCCTTGTTAGGGTGAAAATTGATCCACTTCATAGAGCCTTGTTAGGGTGAAAATTGATCCACTTCATAGAGCCTGGTTAGGGTGAAGGATGATGGACTCCATAGAGTTTGGTTAGGGTGAAAATTGTTCCACTCCATAGAGCCTGGATAAGGTGTAAATCAATGAACATCATAGAGCGTTGTTTGGGTGAAAATTGATCCACTTCGTAGAACCATGTAAAGGTGAAGAATGATGGACTCCATAGAGCCTGGATATGAAAATTAGTCCAGTCCATAGAGCTTTATTAAGGTGAAAATTAATTCCGCTCATAGAGCCTTGTAAGGGTGAAGAATGGTGGACTCTATAGAGCTTGGATAGGGTGATTATTCCACTACATAGTGCCTTGTAAGGATGAAAATTGATCCACTTCATAGAGCCTTGTTAAGGTGAACATTTATCCCCTTCATAGAGCTTTGTAAGGATGAAAATTGATCGACTCCATAGAGCCTTTTAAGGGTGAAAATTGACCCACTTCATAGAGCCTTGTTAAGCTCAATTCATAAAGCCATTTTTGGGTGAAAGATGAAAGACTTGAATTCTGAGTTGTATACACATCAATGAACCATTTGGTGATCACTGGTTCACTTCTTCAAGTCTTGTTACAGAAAAAAATCAACTGCACTGAGCCATATGATGTTGAAAAGGCGACATGATTCGCCCTTTTGCGGGTGAAAGTTGGTCCACTTCCTGGAGCCTTCTGAAGATGATGTGTGAGAGAGAGCTGTCCATTTCATAAGACAAGGAAATGTTTCCTTTAGAATTGGATGTTCATTTGTATAGATAATAATCTTCCAATTCCATTGGTTACAATTTCCTCAACTCGACTGAGCAGACATCCTCATTTAGAATATGAACATCCATCTTCAGCATAAACTGGATTTGATCTGCCTGTGTGAATATTGTTTGTTTTTTCTTGCTTACATGATCTGGCGGGGAAAACTACTTAACTGCCCTTTCACCGCAATCTTATCATTTCTTAATAGGCGAAGAAATGTAAGCGATGGTGAGACTGCGTCTGTGACGACTGTAGGGAGTGTAGCTACCCTGTCCTCATGTATCTTTGTCGATATAACCATGCAGTTTAACGATGCAAAATCAATATCTTATTTTGATTAG